CCCAATGACGAAATACAGAGTGTTGAATAGATAAACGAGATGATCCACTCCAGTGATCCTTCTTATCTGACTTAAATACACTACAGAAGTGGTAACTCGTCATGTTAACGGCGCTCTTACTGGTTTAAATACCACCTTGCAGCATCCTGCAGGAAAAGCCGGCCTAAACTGAAGATGCCTGCACAGAACACCCATTACAGCTGCAGTGGAGCCACTCACTAATAAAACCAGTGAGAATCTATATGTCATTTGTGACTAATTTAATGCAACTTCATGATGGAATTGACTTTGATGGACTTCCTCTTTTTAATTACCTCTCAAAACCTGGTCGATGCGGTTTGAATTAACAGAGAATCCGTGTAATCTAAGGCCGGGTGACAGACTCCAGCCCTCCGGGGTTTGGATGTGTCCCTGCTTCAGCACACCTGATTAAAGTCGATGTGACAAACTGAGCTCAGACTTCAGGGATCTTTTGAAGGGATCCACTCAGTATGAAACAGGTGGGCTGAAACATCTCAGGGCTAAAGAACAGCCCTCGAGGGCCTGAGATCTATGATCAGAGCACAAAGCATCTTGATTTGTGTCATGAAACCATTGAACACAAAGGTATGTGTGTGCATATGTATACATATATATATTTATACATGCAAACCCACATATATGTTGTCTACGTCACAATGCGTGCAACAAAACTAACTTTTCACACAGATTTTTTTATGCATCCCATGAACAACACATTTTTGTGATATAGCTACTAGAGTATGACTCCCTTTATAGTATGTATGGGCTGGATTGGATCCCCTTGATAATTTCATAAGTGGTTCCACTAAAATGGACAGTTTGATTCGTTTATAGTCTAAAAAGTACTTCAGAGGGCTGCTTTTTAACCAAAGTGGTGTAAAATATAGTTTTGTTACATTGTTATAAGTTCTGCCTCTAATCTTAACAGTTAAAAATGGCCAGCAACAAGTTAAACGGACAACACAACAGGCTGGTTTATTGAATTATTTATCATCAGCATGGCAAACAGGTCGGAGATCTTCAGATTATTCTGCAAGTTAGCGAGGTTAGACGCCATGTTTGGCTCAAAGGTTCTACGCCATGACACAAAGAAGTGACCTCACAGGGGAGGCCGGACGGCATCATCCCGATTCCCTGGCTGGAAAAGCGAGTAAATTCTGTAAAACGACACCAAAAACGATGCATCAAAGGCTTTTTTTTTTCTGCTTGGGGAGTGCCCGGGCTCCACGGTTTTGTTGACAGTGGCTTGATTGCGTGATATTCCCCTCTTCAGCAAGGTGTGGAGTGGAATCCCTTTGTTTCCTCTGCCTGCTTTCTGTGGTTTCCAGTGGCCCATCATACTTTCACATCGTCCCAGTTTGGATACTTAGAAAACCCCCCCCGACTAAGCCTGCAAACCTCCCCGGGCCGGCGCGGCGTGCCCCGGCTTGCTCCCGCCCAGCCCTGCCGCTCCGCTGCTCGCCTCGTCCCCCGGAGCAGATTCCCTCGGCATTCTGCCTCTCTGGAGGTCTCTCCGTCTGCTTCTCAGTTGAGACACGTCGCTCGTGGCTTACGAGAAGTGAGGCAAGCGAGGCCAGGCGGGATCGGCGCGGCGCAACATGCGGTCGGCACGCACGAGTCTGAGTGCGTCTGTTTGCACAATGTGCCTCGCCGAGCCTCGGGGGGTTGAGACGCTAATTAGCACCCAGCCAAAAAAAATATCCCTTTCATCTAATCTGTCCGTATCAAGGGGAGGCACATCCTTTGCAAACAAAGACTAATAGACTGAGGGATCCACCACCTGTAGGTCGAGTCCCAGTGCGGTCGGCTGAGTGATTCCCTCGGAAATCTGACTGGGTATAACTCAAAACGAGGGGAAAAAAAGGCTGCGGTTGCCTGATGCTTTCGGGGTTCGCGCTTATCGGCATCATCTACTCTGGTCGAGCTCATGGCTGTGAGATTAATGGGCAGAAACCGAGCTAGCAGACAGTGTAATTAAGACCCTTAGTCACCCGACCGCCAGACAAAGTGAAGTCAGCACCAGTTGAACCCGGCGGTGCTCTCGATGTGGCTAGCTACGCTTGGTTTCCCTCAAAACAAGAACTTGAATGGAGATTGATGAGCATTGTGAAACGAAACATCCCGCTACCAAAGAGACAACACCGTGCTGACCTTTAAGCGCTGTTAGCCCCGATTCTTTAGCTGGAAGCCTGAGAATAAACCAGAGCAGATCAAGAGTACAAATATGACATTTATTGGTCACAAGCAAAGTAAATCAGCTGGGCTCTCACAGACAAAGTATTTCAAATTTCCAGGTGTGATGGACAGTTATCCTCTGGGCCTCGAACAGGAGGACGGCTGGACGTAACCGAGTGTTATTGGCCAGTTAGCTCTGACATGAACAGGCCAGGTCCTAATTCATTCAGGTTTCGGTGGAATGTGATAAGAAAGTGGGGATGTTGATCTTGAAGACGTGTATCTACTGTAACAGAGAGAGGAGGAGGAGGCACAGCCAGAGAGTTTAACACAAAAGTATCATTCTAAAGGCAATAATATTAATCTAAAAAGGAATAAGACAATCAGATACTATGCACATAGTATACTAAGCACATACTACAGACACATACAGATTCATACAGATACATACAGATACAGATACAGATACTAAGCACATACTATACTAAAGTGAGTATTATAGTCCAATTCTAACAGTGAAGTGTAGGAGAAGGCTTATTTTTACCTGCATTGTGGAGCTTCTGAGGAGTCTGCTGTAGTCGGGGGGTGGTGGGACCTCCAGCTCTATGTCGGTGTGAGTCTCAAAGCTGATAGTGGGATCATCCAATCCTATTGGGGCAGGAGACAACAACCCCAGCTCGTGTTTGGCTCTGAACTTCTGCTAATACGAGGGTGGGGGGAGGATTATTATTTCCATGCTGCCTCCAGTGGTTAGACTTTTTGAGCTCCCCCGTTAGCTTAGCGGTTAGCACCCCGCGGCCTGCGGCGGCGTGTAGCCGGCCGGGGCTCCGCCTGCTCGGGGCAGCACTTCTCTGCCAGGTGTTTTAGCCGGAGACGCTCGCATTAGCACGTCAAAAACGTTTGTTTCTGGAAGCCTCCGGAGACGTTTGCCTCTTCAGATCGATGAGTTGAGTCCGACCTCCTCCCATAAAAAGCGCGAGCTCAAAGAGGAAACATCTCTGTTTGAGCTTGTCGTCACAAAAAGCAAGTTAAAACACAGTTTCTGTCTCTTTAAATTTTAAAGAAACAGAAAGCAATTAAAATCAATTACCTGAGTGGAACTCTGATGGCTTCTGGCATCCCGCTATCTTGGCTTTTCTCGTGCGGCGGTTAGTCTCTGCTCCTGCACATCTGTGCACGCCGTCTGTGCACAGTGTCAGAGACCCTGAGAGGGAATCTGAAATAAGGTGGCATCTCCCAAACTGAGCAGGCAGGCTCCTGTGGGTTATCGGCAGATCGGGACATGCTAACAAATGGAGAGATGCTAGTAGCTTGTATCGCGGCCCCGAAGAGCATAAATCTGAACAGAAGCTTTTATAAACTTTAATGAAACAGTCCAAAAAGTTCCTCGAGGACGTCTAGTTGCAGTAAATCCCCCACATCCATTCATCTATACCTGTTTAACCCGGTGGAGCCATTCCCTGATGTCATTGGGTGAGAGGTTGTCAGTCCAACCACAACTCACTCTCACGCTCAGTTTAGAGTCACCAATTAACCTAATTACCCATTTCCCTGCTATTTTGGACAATGGGAGGAAGCCAGATTTCCCAAGAAGAAATATGCTCCACCTCCACTAGCAGAGGGGGAATATAACCACCTCAGTCCAGACCTCCATCTTCTTGTTTTCGTTCAGGGAGCCACAAAAAAAAATGCTTAGAGACGTTTCGAGCTGCTCTTCAAATCACGTTTGTCACTTCCTGGTTGGATAAAGACAAAATGACAAGAGCTGATACTAAATACATTCTTTTTACGGTGCGGATTGACCTTCGTAGGTGTTGTTTTGCTTTAGTTGTTTGAATCATTACAAAAGAGAGAAGGTAGAATTTGGACACAGCCTCTTTCGAAGGTCTTCACCAATGCAGAAACAGTCTGGAAGACCCAGTGAGGGTCATGACTCATGCATATTATCACAGTATTACATTAAGTATTAAGTGCATCTTCATGATTTAAGACTCTTCTTTTGTCTCCGTTGAAATTTAAAAAATTGCGTATTTAAAAAAATAAATAGAAGTGAATTATTGAAAAGACAGAAAGTATTGAGGTGACTGAACGTGCTGAAAAAGATTTAACTTTCTGTTAGAAAAAGGAGGATTAAGTCTTGAGGATTATGTATTGAGTCTTGTAAAAGATCTTAAATTGGAAGTTCAGCGCAGGTCAATTCAGAAAAAGAAATGACTAAAACAAGCTGAATTTGGGAGAACCACAACAACTTTAACACGATTATTAGAGCACAGCCCTTCAGCTCAGTAAGTTACAGTTGCAGTTAAAAACAATCATCCACTTGCTTTTTATAGGTGGAAATATTTTAATAGATCACAATTGGTCACATTTTACTGCCAGGCTGAACAGATGATTTAGAACCAGCTTTATTAATCCATAACAATCACATGAATTCCCATTAATAAATATGTTAAATAAAGAAAACATATTTATTAAGTAGGAATAAGGTCTTAGCTCTGTCATACTGGTAGCCAAGTAATCGACATTTCGACATTTCGTTGTGTTTTTTGTACAATGACAATAAAGGAAGTCTAAGTCTAAATCTATTTATCTTGGATTTGAACCCAAGGCTATATTCTAACCACAACTCGCCACTTTTAAGGGAGAAAAGAGATGATAACGTGGAGCTAAAGTTAACTAAAAGGAGCAAGATGCTAGCAGCTTTGATGTTTGGACTCCAGACGGCTCACGAGCTTTGTTGAAACCCATTTGTTTTTTATTTGTGCTCATTAAGAAATCCTCCGGTCCCTCTCTTTGTGACTCAGGTCCCTGGCCCTGGGGCAGCAGTACTCCTCTCTGGGCTCCCAACCCATCCTGTGCGGGTCCATCCCCGGCCTGGTGCCCAAGCAGCTGCGCTTCTGCCGCAACTACATCGAGATCATGCCCAGCGTGGCGGAGGGCGTCAAACTGGGGATCCAGGAGTGCCAGCACCAGTTCAGGGGGCGCCGCTGGAACTGCACCACCATCAAGGACAACCTGGCCATTTTTGGACCTGTGCTGGACAAGGGTAGGTTTCAGAAAACCCCGAGACCCTCCAGCTTATCAGCCAAACCGGCATAAGCCAGTTTAGTTTGAAAAGTTAAAGGGGACATATGCGTAAAACCAAGTTTTTAATCATTTGATTATGTACATTTGGGACTGTGGAGGGCCTATCAGTAGGCAAAGTGTGAAAAAAAAAGACTCAGTCATGTTTTTGTGGGCCGCCTCAGTCTGAATCCAGGAGATAAATCAGGAGGTTTCAGGAGTGGGTAGTTTCTGACGTCATTAGCTCTAGCTCATTATAATATTCCAGCCTTTCACCTGCATGTTGCCCCCCATCTCAGCTTACTCCGCCTATCTGTGGCAGACGTCGTGGTAGCGTGAGTGTTAGCATGGTAGCGTTAGCATGGTAGCGTTAGCATGGCAGCGTTAGCGTGCCGACGTGGGCACGTGGATTGCCTGTGTCTCATTTGCATTTAAAGAGACAGGCACTCCAAAGCGAGCGCTCTGAACGGGGCTGTTTTGGGTTAGGGTTAGGGTTAGGGTTAGGGTTAGGGTTAGGGTTAGGCAGGGGGACTGAACTGCTATTGGGCTTCATCCTTATGGTATTTTGACCAAAGCTTTCACAGACATTACATTAGGACACCAGGGAACTAGTTTAACTTGTTGAAATAGGATATAATATGTCTCCTTTAAGGATGCTGCAAGCCGTTGCAGAACCCGGCCTGTAATGCTTCCCGGCCTTAGGCCCCTCTCGCTGTGCCCCGGCTCCTGCTGACAAACGACTAACGAGGGCAATTACAATAATAGACACCTTTCTTGGGCTGAGATGAGAAACGATCTCGGGTGCAAGAACCGACACATTGCTCGGCTTCCCTCCACCTGGGGCGCATTTGTCTCGGGAGCCGGCGAGGTTTTCCCGGCTTTCCGGCGTTCCTGGCCGTGTTTACAGTCAGAAAAGATGGCCGACCCCCCGGAGACGTCCACCGGGAGGCGTAACATGCACAGGTGTCCCGCTCGGGGCCTCGCCGCCTCTAATTAGAAAGGCAGAAGCCTTCTGTGTTGTGACCGAGGCCGCTGATTGGAAATTAATTAGCCCGAGTGTCAGAGGGGAAGGAATCTGGGCCAACACGGGCAGTGTGAGCAGTCCAAGCTCCTCAGTCAAATAAAAGGGAGAGGGGAGGCCAAATGAGATTACAGGCAATAGAAAAGGGCCGGGGGGCTCCGCTCAACCCCTACTGTGCATGAAGACCGGTCCGCGCCTCACACAGTCCAGCTCCCACGGACACCCCATTCACACGCCCTTTTGACTCTGTCATGAAAACCGGCTGAAAGGGGATCTCTCCGAACCCCAGCCAGGGTGTGCTCTTTGGGGATGAGGGGAAGAGGGAAGGAGAGTGGCCACTTTGGGGGGTGATGAATGGAGGGGCTGCAGCTACCAACCAGCAGCCCGCGACACCCTGAGCTGCCTGTTGGCTGCGGCGCGTTGGTGGATGCCTGGAGGAAACGGGGGGGGGCGGGGGGTTTGTGCGGTGTATGGGATTTCAGCTTAGGGTGTTGGCGGAGAAGGGTGGCTGGAGGGGGAAGGGGGAGAGGGGGGGGGAGTTTGGGGAATGCCAGCTCCGGGCAGAGCGGGGCTTTGGGGGCGTGAGTCGCTGGGGCCTTTGTGCGGATAACACAGTGTGACACAAGGGAAACAAAGGCCGATTGATGGGCCCAGCAGGTAGCAGGAGCAGCGCTAGCCCTGGCTAGCGGCCAGGGATCCAGGGGCCCCGGCTCGCTGGGGCCGGGTTTGGGAGGGCCTGGCGGGCAGAAAGGGGATGCCCGGCCTCAGGGCGAGTGAGGCAGGGCTCAACGGACCAGGGCCGTTTTCCTCAGAGGGGATAGCGCACGGGGAGCAGGCGTACTTAACCCTTTAACTCATTGACTGGCAGCCATTTTCAGAACAGAGAGTCGCTCACTGCCAGAGTTTTTTGAGCATTTTGACTGATTTTTCAAGAGCCACAGAATAGTTTGTGCTATGACTATGTAAACGCCAAACACACCAAAAGAAAGAGTAGACTCTCTTCTTTCATCAGGAAAAAAAAAAAGTTGTTTCTACCTTATTCCGTTCTTTCTCGACTTGCGTCTCACCGGCGACATGTTCTCTCATAGCGAACCATTGCGTTTGTTTTTATTTGCCTACAATCTATGCTAATCTCCCATCAAAAGTGGCACAGCTACCTAGAGGGTAAATTTGTTACTACATACTCTGTCTGGAAGCCGATATTTACGGAAAAACTTTAGCCGATCATTCCCCAAGCCACTCGCATTGAAAAACATAAAAGACGTCTATAGACGTCTTTGGCAGCGAATGAGTTAATGCCCGATCCAAGTAAAAATAGGAAGAATATTGGATTTGTTTTAGTCTGAAGTCTTTCTTTGGCCCCTCAACAACATATGAAGAAAAAAAAACTGATTTTATTTTGATCAAATTAGCGTGCAATAAGTCAAAAATATATTTTGGTGTGGTCTTCTACTGGCTGTTATCAGGTATATCTGAATGTGTACAACAGGGTGTTTGAGCAAAGCTTTTACCACTGAATGATGCAAAAAGTCTCAGATCCAAAAGACTTCAGAAACTGTACGTATCAAATATGATACATTTGGCATTACAGGGTTAAAAAAGAAGCAACTCTGTGGCTGCTTTCAGGGGGAAAGGGAATCAGAGACGGGTCGACTCCTGAAAAACGTCTTTTCCTTTTGCTTCGGTCGCGTTTTCTTCTGTAAAACTCGTCTCGTCTGATCTGTGACTGATGCCGTCGTCCCAAAATGCCCCCCCCCCCGACCCTCTAACCTGTGAGCTTTCACCACAAAATCTCTCACATTTATGAACTTTCTTGTTCTGGCCTCTCCGGCCCAGTACCGAACTGAATTCGTGGTGTGTTCGGGGACTCTGGTGCTTCCCTGGAATCACTGAGGAATTTGGGCCTTTTGTCGCCCAGTTGTGTTCACACAAATCTCCCAAAGTCTGGTTTTTAAAAAGAAAGCTAAATCGGGCCGCTGGGAGCCCTGGGACGGCCGCTGAGGGGCCGCACACCTGTGTTTGGCCGTCCGGCTGGAAGGAGCTGGCCGGTAAGTGTGCTGTGATTGTGAAACAATGGTGTCCGCTTACATAATAAGCTGCTGCCTTCAAAGGAGGCGTAACTCCATCCCTCAGCGTAAGAAAGGAGCCGGCTGACACACGGCTAGGTTTCACCCGAGGGCCGTGTGGGGGAGAGGGGGGGGGGGTCGACGACATTCCTGAAACACTATCCAGATGCAAAGCAGCGCACCTCGGGGATGACAGGAGGTCACTGTGATCCCACTGAGCCGGGCCCACCTGACACCCCCACAATGGGCTGATGTCACTGCAGGCTCTCTCCCTCGTTTCACATCAAAACGGCAAAACACAACCTCTGTGTGTGTAGTCTGTGTGTGTGGTAGTTTTTCAGGTTGGCTTCTTAGTTTTTTAAAGGGGACATATTATGCAAAACCAAGTTTTTAATCATTTGATTATGTACATTTGGGACTGTGGAGGGCCTATCAGCAGGCGAAGTGTGAAAAAAAATGACTCAGTCATGTTTTTGTGGGCCGCCTCAGTCTGAATCCAGGAGATAAATCAGGAGGTTTCAGGAGTGGGTAGTTTCTGACGTCATTAGCTCTAGCTCATTATAATATTCCAGCCTTTCACCTGCATGTTGCCCCCCCCCTCAGCTTACTCCGCCTATCTGTGGCAGACGTCGTGGTAGCGTGAGCGTTAGCATGGTAGCGTTAGCATGGTAGCGTTAGCATGGTAGCGTTAGCGTGGCGATGTGGGCACACCTCCCGGAAGAAGTGGGTGGATGGCCTGTGTCTCATTTGCATTTAAAGAGACAGGCACTCCAAAGCGAGCGCTCTGAACGGGGCTGTTTTGGGTTAGGGTTAGGGTTAGGGTTAGGGTTAGGCAGGGGGACTGAACTGCTATTGGGCTTCATCCTTATGGGATTTTGACCAAAGCTTGTCACAGACATTATATTAGGACACCAGGGAACTAGTTTAACTTGTTGAAATAGGGTATAATACGTCTGTATAATAAGCTAACAAACGCCTGCTCGCCGTGGGGGCTTCTGCAGGCCTTCCTGCAGAATGTGGAGCCCCCTTTCCTCCCTCTTGACCCCCTCTGACTCGGCCTTTTCCGTCCTGCAGCCACCCGGGAGTCGGCCTTCGTCCACGCCATCGCCTCGGCCGGCGTGGCGTTCGCGGTGACGCGCTCCTGCGCCGAGGGCACCTCCACCATGTGCGGCTGCGACTCGCACCACAAGGGCCCCCCCGGCGAGGGCTGGAAGTGGGGCGGCTGCAGCGAGGACGCCGAGTTCGGCGTGCTGGTGTCCAGGGAGTTCGCCGACGCCCGCGAGAACCGTCCGGACGCCCGCTCCGCCATGAACCGCCACAACAACGAGGCCGGGCGCACGGTAACCACACCTTCAATTCAATTCAGTTTTATTTCTATAGCTCCACATCACAACAACAGTTGTCTCCCAGCTTTCCAAACAGAGCAACTCAGACTCTGGAGTTATTTACAGAAGAACAACAATTCCCACCAAGAGCAAGCACTAGGCGACACAGGGAAGGAAAAACTGCTGAGCAGTAACACCAGAAATTATCATCCAGGATCAAACGGTTCTGCTCTGGAAATTCAAGCTCCAAGTAGAAAATCACATCAGTTCTCAGGAAAAATTGGTTTTCCTTTAAGGAAATTTCCCTTCAAAGACAGCAAACTGACCCTTCTTTACGTGGTAAGACTTAAAAATGGGGGTTAAACGTCTCTCCTCTGAGGTAATAAGAGTTCAGTTAATGTAGTCAAAGCATAAATTAGTACATTTCGTAAGGTGTCTGGTTAAGAAAAACATCATCATAAAACTACTCCGTCTTGTTGTTGTGCTCCAGGCCGTTTACGATGTGCTTTCAGGCAGAGCTGCACGCCTCAAACACCAAAAACCTCATTAAAAACGAGCTTTAAACGAGCCTCGCTCTGGTTTTTGTTTCGGGCCGTCATTAATCAGACGGCAAACGGCAGAAAACACGAAAAAAAACATTCAAACTGGTGGCTGACTGTCGCCGATCCCTTTTGTTTTGGGGATGATTAGCAGATGTTTGCGTGATGGGTTTGCTGTTTGACCCCCCCCCCCCACCCCACCGTAAAAACGAGCTCTTGACTTTGAATGACTGGCTAATTACTCATCCAAACAACACTCCGCCCCACACCTCGCCTTTCATGCTCTGCATCCCTGTGAAAAAATTCCCCAACAGTCAAATAACCCGAGTGAGCTGAGGGGGAAAAGAAAAGAGGGAGACCTGCTCAGACTAACTGAACGGGCCGGCGGCCGGGGGGCAAACAGAGGGACCACACGGCAGCCGGGGCCTTTGATCCCGGCACACAGGAGCGGTCGGGGGGGGGGGGGTTGCTGGCACCAGGCGGGCGAACAGAGGTCCTGTCAGGAGTCCCCACCTGGCCCTCTCACGCTCCACACTCCAGCCCCCGGGGCCCGCCGCTCAGTGCTAGCATGACAAGCTCCCATTGTGATGTCACCGGCCCAGCCCCTCTCTCTCTCTCTCTCTTTGCTCGCCCCAGAAGTGTGCGGCCAGCGTCGGGGGGGGGGGGAATCCGGCAGCCAAATATAGCTGCTGCATTAAATGGTTGAGGTTGGGAACTTCAGAGGGAGTTAGCGAAGCATCTGCGCCTCACAGCTGCGTAAGACTTCAGCCACTTCCAGCCGGGGGGGGGGAATTGTTTTTCCAGGTTTTCTTCGAGCCCTCGGTGGTTTTGTTGGGGGGGAAATGACGGGAAATCTCACCCAGAGGTTTGACTAGCATAGAAATGCAATGATTTGATGATTAAAAGTTGTTTGTGCGTCTTTTATTAAGAGACTAAATGTCTTAAGACATCATTTGACCGACTTTATTACGTCCAAAACAGAATTAGAGGCTAAAGCTGGAAGAGAGGCAAAGAAGGATAAAATAAGGGTTTAAAAGGAGTTAAGTATTTCCAATCAAGAGTGCATCATGGCTCCTGATTTTGTGCAGAAATCTGTCAGAGAATCCCCATTAAATTCCCAAAACACATACAAAGAACTTTAGGCATTTACCATTAGTCAGCCCAGATTCAGGAAGTTTTGGGAAATCCTAAAGAAAAGAAACAACCAATAGATGATCATGACCCTCCAGAAATGAGGTGCATTTCAAATTAGGTACATTACATGGCTAATAAATCCCCCCCGAGGATCATATTTGTACTGTTAGAGGCCCTGAAAGTTCCCAAAAGTATGTTCCCAAATCATAAGTGGACTCTTTCTGAGGGACCTGAGGTCTTTGGACCCCTAAAGGTTTTCTGTCCACATCTGCCTCCGATTTAAAACGAGCAGAATCAGACAGAACCACAGACATGTTGTATTCAGCAGAAAAGGAGACAGATTCCTCTCAAAAACAATTATCCTCTGTTCCAAAACTCAATAAAACATGTAAATAAAAGCAGCCCACAGATCAGGGCCACCCTGCTCGACCTTTTATTGGACTGACGGCATCAAATCTGAACTTTTGTTCATATTTCAGTTTCTGCGGATGTCTTTAATGCGCTGAAGAAAACCCCCCAGCCCAACTGGGAATTGGGCTTGAGTGCTAGACACTCTTTGAGGGATATTCCACCCGAAATCGGCCTTTTTTTGTCCGTCAGACCCTATCTGGTGGTTTGGGAGTCGTGCAGCTGGTTTCCTCCCGGAGGGCCGCAATCAAATTCTCACCACCTCCAAATCTCTGCCAAAGGAAGCACATTAAGGGATTTACGGAGGAGTGTGCTGGCTATCAGTTAAGACGTGGGTTGCGGAGCTGAGCTGAAAAGCTCGTGTGGACACTTTAATACAAGACGGCATCCAACTGGAAACAAATATGAAGAAAACCTGCACACCAAGGAAGCACCACGAATAGTTATGGAGACTCAAGAGATAATATATACATACATATATAAGAAGCTATGTTTGTTTTTTAGGGTTCTGAGGATGTACTGGGTATGTCATCCGGATTCCACAGCAAAGGGTGCAATTAACCCTTTAATTTGTTTTTGGTTTAGGGCATACATTTGTAGAAAAGTGGGCAGATCTCAGACCCTTTGTAAAGTTTATCCCATCGTTTACTTCCTTATTCATTATCTATTGATGGGATTGCCAGCTGCATTATGAGCAGAAACTACGGAAACAGACGTGTGCCAAAAAATATCAAATGGAAAATTAAACAAAAACTTGTGATTTGAAAGGGGAATCTTACATTTAATTAAGAAAGCATTGAAGTGTAAACTTGACAAAAGTATTTGTTTAAATTAAACATTATAGTAAAATATGATAATAGTAATAAGTTAAATAAATTGGAGGAGCATGAAAACCATCTCATGGGTGTTGATTTTAGATTATGGAGAATCAGGAATAGATTCCAGAAACAGACTAAAGTTGGTTTCTTTTTTATGTTTTTTGCTCATGTGACTTATGTTCAGTTTTTAAAGGATTTAGTTTGAGGGGAAGCTGATAGAAATGCGGTCTTTGTGGAGGTTTCTGTAACTCCATCAGAGAAAGGCAGGTGACTGTGAGTTGGTGAATGTAATGTTTTCCTACATGTAGAAAGCTTTTGGATGAACTTCGTTCCAAGTGAAATGAACAGCTTTGACCCGTTGCTGTTCCATAAAGGCTTCACAGTTCGGTCATTCTGTTCAGACTTTAGCTGCTGAGTTCCAGCCTGAAGGCCAGCAGCCAGATCTCAGACCTCTTGTGGACTTTATCCCATTGTTTACTTCCTTATTCATTTTCTATTGATGGGATTGTCAGCTGCATTATGAACAGAAATTACGGAAACAGACGTGTGCCAAGAAGCATCTAATGGAAAATGAAACAAAAACTTGTGATTTGAAAAGGGAACCTTATGTTTAATTAAGTGTAAACTTGATACAAATATTTGTTTAGATTAAACA